CCCCTGAGGGTGGGGAATTCGGGTCGTGACATCAGTGTAGGTCTTTGTGCTCGATTTCAAGCAAATCTAAAGGAGTCCCACTTGAGGGGCAACTATGAGAAAGACTTGATCACTGTGGAGTTTTGTACTATTGATAAGCAAATTGTTGACATTTTCACAAAAGCCTTAAGTAGAGATCATTTTGAGAGGAACAAGTTGGAATTAGAGATGATTAAGATCACCTAAAAGGATCAGTTCAATGCTAAATGGAAAAAAAAATTGAAAAAATGGTTAGTAAGTCTGTAAATTGTACATAAGTAGACTAAATCTTGCCCCGTCTCATACTTTCAATAGTATACTTTTGTGCCATGTGTTAAAATGACTCATTAATCTCTAATGATATTTTATCTATTTCTACAAATTTGGACTTACACAAGAGAATTATCAGTGAAGAACCTGGTTCATCAAGATAACACGGTATGTTTTCTACACTCTACATATTTTGAAATAATTATTTGAATCATAAGCAGAGTCCTACCTAAGCTAAATTTCTTTTGAACTTATCCAATAAGTGAACCGGTTCTGTTCAAAGACTCCCACCCAAATTAACTTACCTAGATTCTAGGGACGTCTCAACAGTCTTTTCAAAATTGAAATTTCAGTTTGATTACACTTCTATTTGACGGCTAAACCTATCGTTACTCATTAATTACCCCTTCCTTTAAATCATTCATCATCATCCCTCCCATTCTCGCATAATTTCTAAAAATAGTCAAACTTTTTCTCTTCTCTCTTCTTCCAAAATTCAACCTACTCATCTCCTTCATCACAGAATCAAGAAAAATAACTAACCCTCAAGATAACCCTGGTACAACCCCACCATGTTCCTCATCTTCTATTACCCCTCAACCTAGGAAACGATGAGTAAAAATTCTTGCTCGAAAAACTGTGGCTAGAGGTGCGCTTTCAAGGAAACTCAACACACAGTTACAAGCAAGTCAAGCCCAAGAACCCCAAAACTCTAACGACTCTTTCAAGTCTGCAACTGAGGGGGAAGAAACTGGGTCTTCTGATTCTGAACAGGTAACTTCTGGAACAAATACTATGAATGAGGTTATTTCTGTGTTAGTTGAAAATTTGGAGAATCGGTTCTTTTTAGATGGATCTGTAGTGGATGTGGAAATGCCTGAGTCCAGAAGGAGATAAGGTAAAAATAAAAGAGAAAAAGAAAAAGAGAGTGAGGGTGTGCGAAGTGATGAGAGGGGAAAAGGGAAAGAAGTGGCTGATTCTTCACCTACTTCTGAAATTGATAGGATGGCTATCCGACTCCCCCTGCCATCACCAGAAAATTCAGTGATCATAAGCAGGAAAGTGAGCCCAAGGCTGTATACAAGAGTGAAATGAAGCCTTCCCACAAGGTGTTGTTTGAATTTGTCATCAAATGTGTTCTGCCTAGGCAGGAGATGCGGCACATTGCTAGCTTCATGAACTTAGTTCCGATGGAGTGTCTAGACAGTGGGAAGTAGATAAATTGGTCTGGGTTTATAGTCCAGCTTCTTGATAGGGTTATCAATGGTACCAAGTCTCATGCTATTCCTTATGAGTTCATTCTTACTACTATGCTTGCTCATTTTAAGGTGCCTTTAAAGAAGTGGGAGCTAGCTACAAGCAAAGATTATTTTGGGGCAAGAACTTTGATTGCTTGTGACTATGAGGTTCTTGCCGCTCCTAATGAACCTGGTTCATCTAAAAAGACACCAATTAATAGCAAGGTCAGAGTCTTGGTATAGGAGAGTGAGACAAAGGATGCTGAGACAGCAAGGCTGAAGACACGGTTGGTTGAGGTAGAATTTGAGAGAGATGTTCTCAGAACTGAACTTGCAAGGGAAAAGGAGAAGAATGGTGGAATTCTTCAAGACATGCTGAAACTTCTCCAAGCAAATAACACAGCCCCTACCTCTTCCAAGCTTAAATCCTAGCCTAGTGTAGTTCCTTCAGTAACCCAGTTTGGGATGTTTCTTTTGTTGTTGTTTGCTCATGTTTTCAGTATTTTTATTTCTTTTTATGCATTGTGGTAAAATCATATCAACTTTCAATGAAATCAATAAAATCTGTTGATTTTTGCTTTAACTGTTTGTTTTTATTTCTTTGATGGTTGAAATTCTTAGCTTGATCTACGATGATTAATCCATGATTGCATTTGGGATAGCCCCAGTGGCCATGAGTAAGCTTTATAACCTGGGTTCTGTATATATTTATGCAACCTTTTGATGATGCCAAAAGGGTGAAAATAAATAGGTTTGCTTTAAACAAGTGATGTTTAGCTTTGAACAAGTGTTGTGTATAACCTAATGAACTTGGTCCTTGATGATAAGTGATAAAAAGGAAAAATATTTCTAACATTGTATTGATGTTGCGCCGAGTTTAAATAGAGCCTAAGTGTATGAAAAGCACATAGTTTGTCATCATCAAAAAAGAGGAGTTTGTTGGCCCAAGTAAAGGTTAGTTTTGAAGAGTGACAAAGGAACTCAGGCATAAACCAGGTCCATCCCTTGTGAGCACAGATACGGGCAGATTTGAGCATGTGGGATGCACGTGAAAGAGATAAACATAACTTGACAGAATTGATATCTCCTAATCGATAAGGTTGCATAATGGATAAGGAGAAGGACTCCTTACTCAAAGAGAACACTGTCCATGATAGGAAGGAGTTAGATATTGAGATCAACTAGAACTCTTCCACCAAGGAAGAGTAGCATCAGAATCTAGTAAATCTTTATTTACTAACTTTATAAATATCAGTGTTGTTCTCTTTTACAGGTAATGCATAAACGCAGAAGTTAAACGTGAATTGAGAGCAAAATAGCAAGGCTTTTTGCAAGCAGTTCGTGTGTGATTCAAGTGTGCAAACCTGAGGCTACATGAACCAGATAGAAGAACCAGTTCTAAGTGTCTGTCTTTTATTCTAGTTCAATTGTAGTAGGTGTTTTTACATTGTACCTTTCAGCTTTATCTAGAGGCAATTGTAATAGGTACTCAGAGTATTCAAGTTAGAGTTAATTTGAAGTTGTCGCAACAATTAGAGGTTGTGTGCTACAACGAGATTGAAGTTAGTCCTAGGTTTACAAAAGTGGTTTGTCAATGCAGTTTTTGGCTCAGTGATTTTAGTGAAGAGTTTGAAAAAATCCTACTGGAAAGTAGGTCGTGATTTTTTCACCTTTTGAGCCAAGTGTTTTTCACGTAAAATATTTGTGTTCTTTACTTTCCGCATTTACTATTTTTGCCATAGTAGATTAAGGAACACTTAAAAGAACCAGATCCTTCCATAATCAGTTTAATCGAAAAATTAGACAACATAAATCACTCCCTCTGATATGGTATTGAAGTTAACATCATAACCGCACACCACCAGTGTGTCTTGAAATGTAGAAAAACTATCAAATGTGTAGAATGTCTAAAACGTTCTCCTCTTGTTGTTATTGTTTTTGGAGGTTGATTCCTTATATATCTTTTTATAATTGTTTGAGATGTGTTACTTCGAGTGTTGCAATATTTTTGATATTTTTGCACTAGCAAATTGTTAAATAATTTATATCTCTTTAGTTACTTGTCTATTTTATTAATAGCATGAATCATGATTAATTGAATGTATTTTCTTCTTGCTATTTGGAAAATATTGTATCGTTTTCTTTCAATATGTTACGCAACCACAAATGCCTGAAATACTTTAATTGAATTTTCTTATTCTATTTTCTAAAAAAATTATTAAAACCAAAAAGATAATTGATTAACTAATGAAACCTAACAAATACTTTGGACAGGTGATGGCATGAATCAGGATAATTGAATGTGTTTTTTTTTTTTTCTATATCGTTTACTTTTCCTTTGACTTTCTTTTTTATTTTGTTGTTCTATATTGAAGATGAAGTCAATTAATTACAATAATAATTGAAAAAAACAATTCAAATATTACAAAAGTACTGTTAGCAAAGTTAACTAGAGTTTTAAATTATTTTTCAACAGATTACTGGATAGTTTTGAGGAAGTTGGAGTTTTTCAACATTTTTTCGACCAACCAAAGAACAATTATATATAATTTATTTTTTGTTCGTTTCACACCTAAAACATGTAAAAATAGCACGGTATAGCTAGTTTTCGGACTGGTCATTCAAAAATAGTCAGCGTTTACCAAGTCAATGAAAAATAGCCACTATTTTGATGCAGCAGAGACCGATCCAGCATAATATACTGGAGTTCAGTGCACTTGTGTATGAACTCCAGCATATTATGCTGGACCAATAAACTTTGCTGGCTCCAGTATAATATACTGGAGACTGGAGCACCGGTGTTCCAAAGTCCAGTATATTATGCTGGACCGGTATACTTGCTGGAATTCCAGTATATTATGCTGGAACTCCATCATATTATGCTGGAATTCCAGCATACTTATCTTGGAACTCCAGTATAATATGTTGAAGTTCAAGTATACTTATGCTGGAACTCCAGCATAATGTACTGGCGTATTTTCCGAGTTTTGAACAGTGTTTCCGCTCAGATTTATCTTTACATTAAAAATGGCTAAATTTCGATTACTTTTGAAACTGGGCTATTTTTGAACGACCAGTTGTAAATCTGGCTATTTTTGAATTTCACTCTAGAAGAATTAACCTAACTAGCATCCCACTCAATTACTTAAAATAAAAATAGTCGGCGAATGTGTAATATGTGTATTATCTATATATAATATGTGTCTAATTTTATATAATTAATGTATAATTTATGTATACCAGCTCGAAAAAGTAAAAAGCAGTGGCCGGCTATTTATGTAAAAATCTCAATATTCTATACACGCATTAGGTCGGATTGGCGCCCTAATTATTAGTTAAAATCCTAAAAGGAATAGAACTTAATTTCTTGCCTCCTACTCCTTGTTGGCATGGGATTTATCATATAAATTTTGGTTATAACACCTCTTATATATATATATATATNATCTCTTTCTTCTTCACGAATAAGAACAATTCTTTCTTCAGTACCAATTATGGCAACGTATACTTTCGAACAAAACGAATACTTGGAAGATGTGATTGAGAGTCAGGTACAAACTTTGTTGCTAATACGTTGTTAAATCGCTCGCAGCTAACATAATTTTTTGATAATTTGTTATAATTCGTAGCTAAGTAGGATCATCGATGGATTTTGTTGTTTAGCTACACAATTTATCTGTCATTAATTTCCGTTTTTTAAATAGTTAAGGTGCTTAAAAAATTTATTAAATTAATTTTATCAAGTATTTACAAATTTTTCGTGAATACCCCTAGCTGCTAATTTTCTTATTGTTACAAGTTATTGTTGTTGTTATTCTAAGATAGCCAGAAGTGAATTCAGGGATTTACCTTTGATACGTTCAATATATATTTATGTCCTCACTATCGAATCTCTTTCTTGTAATTATGAGTTCAGAACATAGTATTTGTTAGGGTTAGGGGTGTACATGGATCGGGTTGGTTCGGTTTTTATCAAAACCAAATCAAACCAACTATATCGGTTTGGATTGGTTCGGTTTTGTCGGGTTTTTTGGGTTTTCGATTTTTTTGTTACATGAATATTATTTCAAATAATCTTACTTTGTTAAAATTATAGATAAAACTTTGATAAGTGAATATATGTTTAGTAAATATGAAAAAAATTGACAAACATATGATCTATTAAAATATTCTAATGGGAATTTTTTTTTAGTAACACGTGATAGTTATTTTCTTAGTCGTCTAACAATAATTTTTCATTAATTTACACTTTCAAGGTTAATACATGAGAGGATCCCAAATATTTCTACATTTCTAAAGAAAATTCACTATAAAGTTTTAAAAATATAAATAAAATTTATATATTTATATGTCGGTTTAGTTCGAGTTTTCTTACTCAATACCAAACCAAGTCAAACCAAACTTAGTCGGATTTTTTAATCGGTTTGGTTTGGTTTTTCGGTTTGGTGCGGTTTTTCGTTCGGTTTGAACACTAAAAGTTTAGTGATTTTAATTTCTACATGTAGAAATACTAAAAGTTCAATTGAACTTGTTGGCATGATTATTATTATTATTATTATTATTATTATTGAATTAAAAATATCCACGTTGTAATTTCTTTATTTATTCTTGCAATCCAATATGATATTTCATGTTTTTTTTTTTAATTTTTTTTTATTGTGTATTTTCATGTAGCTGTATGGTTTTTAACTTTTTATAGTTTTGATATATCGTAAGTTTTTTGTTATTTCCTTTTTTTTTCCTGTTGAATACTAACTTCTTCCTTCTTTTTGCTATTTTTCTTTGAAAATATGTAGGGTTTCTATGTGATGAACGATTTTGGTTGGAAAACACCATGTGGAATAGTGAAAATTGGCAAAAATTCTGAAGCTTTTGAAAAAGCAAAGAAAGCTACAACTTTTGCAGTAGATAAATACAATGAGAAATCAGAGAAATCAAAGTTGGAATTATTGAGAATTATGAATGTTAATTTTGAACCTACTGCTGGTGCAATTTATTATATTTCTTTGGAAGCCATGGATTTATTTTCTAGGAAAATTCTTCATTATCAAGCTAAGGTTTGGGAAAAAATCAACACTGGTTATAAAGTTGAGATTTTTCGATTTGCCCCTTATATGCCAAAGCTCTCAGGTAATTAATACTCTTTATTATCAAAAATAATTTAACTTATATATACTGACGTTATAAGAATCACTACTAAAAATAGGAATTTTCGATGGAGTGTCCATTAGAAATTTTCGTTATTTTAGTAGTGAATCTTTGCAAAATCAATATATTTTAACTTGCTATAACATGTTATTTACGTTATTTTTTACATTAATAAATTAGGTTATTATAGCGAATAACATGCTATTGTAGGTAAGCTAAACATGATAATATGTACACTATTGATGCATAAAAGTCAAACTTTATTAAAAATAACATTCTGCTTTCTTATTCAGTTTATGAGTAGAAATTCTTGTAAAATTGTTTAGGAGAAAAAAAAAATTTATATTTCATATTTCTTAAATCTCTTAGTATTTTCCTTCAAAAGACACTAAAACTTGATAAAATTGACTTGAGAAAGCGAAATGGAGCTATTATTGTTTAATAAACGTATGGAATAATTTTTATGTTTTAAACAATATTCACCTAAAATTTAGTTGGTCATATTATATTTTAATTTTTCTTTTAATATGGGGTTATTTGTTGCAGAATGTGTGGAAGAGAAACATTGCTGTATTAAGGTTAATAATTTGCAGGACTGGATGGATGAGAATTATCTTTATTATAAGTGCTGTTACACATTCAAAAAGGTAATTTTTAAACCTAATTTACTCTTTATATTTCTTCATATATAATTTTTAGATCGGTAATACAATCAGTATTTTAAAAATCTTTTTTGGGATTGCCGGGGCTCACCCTTAGGTGGGACACTTGCAAAATGCCCGAGACTTAGTTTTGTGAGGCTTATGTCTCAAGCGCTAGATTATGCGCCCTAAACACACCTAAGTTCAAACTCGCCCAACAACGTCTATCCAAATCATGTGTTAACTATCTAATTCATATTTTTATGTTATTTAACATTAAATTTTGATTATTTAATTGGTTTGTTATTTTCAGTTTGTTTCTGTGGAGGTGATTAGGGATAAAGAAACTGGCAAATCTATGGGCTATGGTTTTCTTTGGTTCAAAACTCATTCAGAAGCAATGGAATTTTTAGAGAAAAATGAAGGAAAGCAAATGCCAAATTCCAGCCAGAATTACTCATTGGTGTTTGGAAAATTTTGAAGGCCAAAGTGTTTTTTTACATAGTTTATTATCCATTTAAAGATTATGTTATTTTATGTATTACTCATTCACATAGTTTAAATTGTTTTTTATGGTATTTAGATGGTCTTTTCTTGAGTAGTTTTTAATAAATGTTCTAATTTCCGGTAAATTTTGATGAACAATAAAAACTTTTTACATCCACCATACCTCTCCATGATTTCGTCACTGATTAATTTCAAACTATTATATAATTTGGGAAACGAACAAACTCATTATTCACCGAGTTTTTAATCGTGCACTATCTCGCTCTTGGATTTGATTATTAATATATACACATTTGTACAATGTAGTACATATATATTAGAAAAGTAAAAAAGCAATTTAATAGAAGAAGGGTAATTGAAATACTAAATTTGCAGGAGAAAGCTTTAACAATTCTTATTTAATTTTTTTTTTTTTCCTTTTTACATTAACAAAAAAGCATGCATAATAACAAGAATAAAGACAACACTTCCCCTCTCTTAATTTGCGTTGTGGCAAATTCTAGCAGTTGGATTTGACACACAAACTTGATAGTACTTCTTCTTGGCTTCTGGGGAGCCGCGCTTCGGCTCCTCGTCGGCCATGGCGGCCTTTGCCACTGAGCTAGCGGCAACGGCCGCCATGGCAAAGAACAACTCTCTCCGGCCACTGTTGTTGCTCTCTTTCTTGTTGCTTATTACAATATTTTCTCCCTCACATGGCACCTTTGAACTTGCCTTCACCATGACAACCCCGCGGCGGTTCGCGGCCGGGACTTTGGTCAAGGCCGCGACGGAGCCGCCGGCCAAGGAGGTTGTCATTGTCATTGAAGCCATTTGATCAACCCAAAAATTTTCCTAGTTTGATTGCTTATTACTTGCTTTCTGTTTTGTGCAAAGGAATGGTTTGGTGTGTTAAAAATATGTATACATGTAAGGAACAGAAAGAAAATAGTGAATTTCCATGAGGTATGTTATCCATTTTCTTATCTAAACAAAGAGTTCAGAGCCAATGATATTTTGCCATCTGGACATTCAATCTTGGAAAGTAAGTTTGTGGTTATTGAGCTCCTATTATAGGTACCAATTTTGAGGACGACTTTGTTTCAAATTGTCTTTTCATGTTTTTTGGCTTTTGCTTTAATCTTTTCTTTTCTTGACCATTTTATGGCTCCTTCAGCTTTTCCAAAATATTATTTAAACTTTAATATTAACAACCGATGACACTTTCATCCCTCCCAAAAAACAAAAAACAAAATCTTTCCAATTAGTCTAGTTGATTTGCCTAAAGAGTGAAAACCGTCAGCAAAATAATCTCAATTTTTGCAATCAATTTACTACTCCCTACGGTAGGGGTCATGTCTGCGTACACACTACCCCCTCCCCAAACCCAACTAGTGGTATTTTAGTGGGTCGTCGCCGTACCATAAAAGAATTCAAAGTCTCCCCTAAGAAATTCCTAAATTACCAAATATTAACTAATCAATCTCCACAGGCAATAGCAATAACAAGCAAAGGGGAATCTGGAATGAGCAAAAAAAATAGACACAAAGATAGTCCAAGCTAGCTAGGCATTTGCCATTAACAAGTTTTTCAAGACATAACAAACTAACAAAGTTTGAATGAATCAAATTACAAAAGAGAAAAAAAAAATGTCCAAATTCTATTCTTATCTTGATCATCCCATCTATGTCTTTTTCTTCCTCCTCCATCAATGAGGAAGAAAAGAAAAGGGTACAAGGAAACCACTTTGAGTCGTCGACTGACTATTGAATCAAGGTTTCACATTCTCCCTGATGAACTGCTCCAACTGAGAGATTTCACCTGTCAAACCAGAAGCTTCGGCAACAATTACTTTGTTACAGCACTGAGAAAATCCAAATGGTTCTCCGGGTACTCCAAGTGTAAACTCGTTAGAAATGTCTGCCTCAGACACTGCAGTTCTTGATGTACGAAGCTTGTCGCTGAATAACAATGGTAAAACAACCGTGGAACACATTCAGAAAACAGAAAATTCCCAGTTCAACATAAAGTTAAAGCAGTTTTAGATAAGTGCATCAACATAAGGCCAAGTTTGTGATAAAGAAAAAGGGAAAAAACGGAAAACAAACGTGACAGGATATAATGCAGAACTATTGAGTTAGCTTTCCCATGAGGCAGTCCTGGTAGAGGACGCGCTTTTTTAACCAAATATAATCCTATATTTACACCTAACTTAGTCAACTGACATTAATTATTATTTTTTGAAATAATCAACTGATGATATTGTTTCAGGAACTCTAAGAATATGGATTTGAGTAGTTTGCTGATGCAAATAGCAGCTAACGATATCGCTACTATTGACTAAAATGGGAGTGTAGAGTTATCTTACATTTCCTTCTCCAGTTGTTTCCTTATGAACTCCTTTGTATGTGCAGTTATTTTATCAACCTTGTTGCACAGGAGAAGTACTTGAATCTTTTTCTTGACCACAGTTGCTTTCGTCAATATTTCATACAGGTACCTTTTGTGAGAGGGTGTTAAAATGTTAGAATCAGTTATCAAGCATATAATCCATATGAAGATGAATAGTTAAAAGTAAATACTCTGCAGCAGTTCGGCTATTTGGTAAAAATTCCACCGAATCCACCACAAACACAATGCCAGCTGCTTGAGGCAAAAACTCATCTAGTTTCAGACGTAGACGAGAATGCCCTGGAACATCAACAATATGAACTGGTCTTGTTTTCCCCTTCTGCAGCCAAATAGAAACAGGTCTGAATAATTGAATTTTGAAGTCCATTTGCAGAAAGATTGGCACTTCAGCAAATCAATTAAGAAAAAAACTAAAGATACAATCGAAGGTGGGCTACTAGCAATTAATAAAATCTTATCCATCTTAGTGGAGGCTGAGAGAATGATAATCTAGTTAAAAGGCACGGAAAAAAAAAAGAAACAGAAAAAAAGAGATGGCTGTCACTACCTTGTCCCTCTCGGAGTGTAGCATAAAACTGTCTTCATTTGGTTCCATCGATGTCACAGTACCCTGATGGGCTGAGCCATCTCTAAGCTATAATAGACATCATAAAAAGATAAAGTCACATAACCTTTTAAAAAAAGCTTATATCAGGTCCTGCATTCGTTCATACAACAGCACTTACCTGGTAGAAGAGGAAAGTTTTGCCACTTCCACTCAGTCCAGTGAGTAAAATTGTATTAGATGTTGTACGTTTAAAAAGGCGAACTGCAAAAAGACACTAAGAATTTCTGAATTTCAGCTTTTGATGAGAAAAAATTCAGCAGCTAACATGGAGCATTTAAGGACAGAAGAGGGACATAAAAGCTTAGGGAAGGGACCAAGAAGGAAGTAGATTTTAAAAATAGACGTAACCTATAAGTTCCTTGCGCAGAGAAGAAAAAATGTTTTGGGAGAAAATAACAGAAAGACCGAGCGAGGCATGTAATTCAAGGACAATTTTAATTCAACAGCACGTGGTTCATTTCTATATCCAATTCTCTATGAATCATTTATTACAATCACGTGACTCAGTTTATTAACTATATATTGTTCCGAGCTGCTGATACCAGGAGACATACTACAGTTGCTAAGAGTTAATATCAGCATCACAATTTTACACCTCTTCGTGTTTCCACTAACACAATCCACTACATACCCAAGCCAACTCTTAGTATTCCCACTGACATATTCCACTGCAAACCCACACACGAACGACATCTACTCATCGAACATATGTAACAAATGCTCTTACTGCTGTCAGAACTATAATGACTTGTCTTTACAGAGGAAAAGAAAGAATAGAGTTCACTATTGATTACAACACCTACATCAACCTTAATCAATCTGCATTGCTTTTGACATCAATATCCTCTATGACCATCACCACTACAACTCCTTTCTTCTGTTATCACATTATCACCCAGCATGGATCCAGCATATGTAAAGCAATTTCAAAACGCATCAAACGTTTGATAACACTTTAAAAATTATAGATTAAAACAGTAGAGGGAATAGTAGCCATTGATGAACTTGCTGGTTCTGTTGTCTTCATTGGTCATACACATCCTTAAGGAAGAATACTAGTAAGTCAAAAATATTTCGTTAAGGTTAGAAAGAAGCCGCAAGTACCTAATGACTTAAGAAGAAGATATGCTGGACAGTAGCACTATGAACTACAGGAGACATTATATAGGGGACTCGGGGGCTTTGAGTCAAGAGCAATTGGATCTGATTAAGATATAAATGATATGCTGAAAATGGACAGTATTGGTTGCTTTACATTAGCAAGGACAGTGTTGATAGATAGGTTGAAATTCCAATAGAGTCACTAAGATCCCTTTAGCCTATTGACCACCATCCAGTACCAGAAGACGAAAATTTTCAATTGTCCAGAATAATTAGGAATCTTCTGCCAAATCTTGGCTCAAAACCTAATTCAGACTTTGAAGGATGGCAATAATGTGGTAGAATCATCTCGCCTCTATTCTGTACCTCCTAAAATACTTATCCTTCGAGATCCTTCTCCAAATTCGAGGTACTTCCTTTTCACAATATGCAAATTAAGTTGCATTACAGAGATTTCTTAAACAGTAAGATAATTTCCAAGTTACAAAAGAAGACATAGCTGATGTTTTTACTGCTTGAATTACGTAAATAACTGGATATAGTAAGCCAACATTCGCATTAATAGTTCACCAGATTTGGAAAATCTTCAACACTTTAAGGTACAACCACAAGGGTACAGTTCTACCAAAGTCACATTCTGTTTATAGTGGTTTGTTTTTCGCCCCCACATGTCGGATTGTCAAACACAGAGGGAGATACATTTGATCTAAAGAGTAAATCGCATATGCGAAGAGCACAAAAAGAGGCACCGGTCCGTCGGTGTGAAACTATGGTGAGTGAGGGTGGTAGAAGGAGAGGAGATAGACTTAAAAAGCAAATGGAAGGAAGTTGTCTTGAAACACCTACACATCCTTGGAGTCAATACAGACTTAGCTAATAATAGGGTACAATGGAAGAAAAAGATCCATATAGGTGATACTCACTAGTTAGGAATAAGCTTTAAATTTGTTAGTAAACTTCAAATGTTATTAGTACCATTTATTATTATTATTATTATTATTATTATTATTATTATTATTATTATTATTATTATTATTATTATTATTAAACGATGGTTTTTCCGCTTTTCACAGCTGCTCTTTCCACACCTCCGGATATCTGGTGCCAAATTGTCGCCCCTTTCCTTATTTCTTTGATAATAGAGTTGGCTATCTTTGTGGCATCGATTGTACAAGTTCGTGAAGAGGGCTGGACGAGTGGAATGAGGGAAAGCGGCTCGATCGACAAAAAAGAAGAGTAGCCTCCCTAGAACCTGGCAAAGTCATTATCAATGAATTCACGAGCAATTCTCAACCAACATATGCGATTCATTCCCGTAAAGTTATTATTATACCACTACTATTTTTATATATA